TAATTTTAAATAAAATATGAACTTGTGAATTGCGCGGCTTTATATATAGATACTGGAAAACATGTAGAGAACTGATTGGTAGAACAGATTCAAGTTAACTTGCGACAAATTCACGTTAAATATCTTGTTTTATACAAGTAGAAGAAATATACAAGTATGATATCAAGCGGGTTAAATAAAAGTAAATTTTGAAGTACCCATACCAGAAAAGCAAAATTTTCAACATCAAAAATGCAAGAGTTAGCTCAGTTGTATCTGCAAAAACTACTGTCATAACTTTAACATGAAACTGAAACACTACTCTCTCTCACCCCTCTCTCTCACCCCTCAACCTGCAATTACTCTCCCCTCCTCCTTTTTCACTCACTCTCCCTCTTCCTTTTCTCTCTCCACCCACTCATTCACTCACCCTCTCCTCCCCACTTACTCTCTCGCCACACACTCTCTCTCCTCCCTCTCCCCCAACTCTCTCTCCCGAGTCGCTCCCCCTCTCTCCCCACTAACTCTCTCTCTCTCTCTCTCTGCGTTCACTCTCTCTGTCTCCACTCAGTCTCTCCCCACTCACTCTCTGTCCCCCACTCACTCTCTCTCCCCACTCACTCTCTGTCAACTCTCTCTCTCCCCACTCACTCTCCCTCTCTCCCCACTCACTCTCTCTCTCTCCCCTCACTCACTCTCTCTCTCCCTGACTCCTTCCCCACTCTCTCACTCTCTCTTTATTTATTTCTTGTCCGTTTGTCTCAGTAACACTTAGACCTTGTAAAATAAATTATATATATGCCTGATACATTGATGTTTCATAGTTCTTTACATTAAAAAAATAACGGGGAAAATACTTTTTCTATAACAAAGAGAAAATTTTTATCGTAATTTTAAAATAAATTATAAAATGTTTATTCTTGATCTTTTTACTTTAAAATGGATTTAGCAGAAATGTTTATTTATGCAAAATATGAAAGCGATTTAAAATTATACGGGCGATAACTTCACACAACAGACAGTTCACAATTAGATCATTGCGTTGTTTGTTTGCGTATTTAATGAAGATGAATTTTATATGCTTGAAGAACGATACTTATATGTTTACTAACATGCAAGGAAAATGATATTTCAGCTTGAAATCCCAGTTGGATATTATTTGTTGTACCGTTGTGAAAAGTATCTAAATTATCCACATGTTGAGAGGAGGTCTATGAATTATTCTTTATTTGATCAAGTGTGTAATATGGGTTTGACATGTACTATCCGTTTCCCTTGCATTCATTCAGTTTACTTATATTATATATTTTTATAATTTTTGTCCAGTTCAGATATCGTGTCGTTGCGTTGAACGTTAGCAAAATGCATTTGCATCATGACTCCCTCGTTGTTCTACGCATTACCCGGTATGTCATATTTTCTCATTGCATATGAATGTTCGTTGGCTGCTTTATTCAAATGCGCACTGTTAATAAAACCTACATGTAACCTTGATTTGTTGCATGGTTCTACTCTACAGACCATAGCTTTCGAAAGGATAGTGTTAAATGATTTACCGTTGGGCCATCAGTGTAATTTGAGTAAATGTTCACCTTATAACAGGCCTTAGCCATGCCTTCTGGGAAAATTACAATCATTCCATTAAGCAGTAAAGTCATTCAATAAAAAAAAGAGAGCCATGCAAAATGTGTGCTTAAAAATTGTTACAACATTTCCTCTGTCGCGCATACCGCCCTCCTCAACTCATGTAACGTTAAAGAGATAACATTTGTAAATTCATTAAAAACAACCTGCATTACAATGCACATATGCATTATGTAAATAAAATCCTTATAAGAGGATTTTCGGTGAAAAGAAACGATTTCTTTTCACTTTTATCCTGAAAACCCTTTTATATTTTTTAAACCTCGTTTCAGACAGCAAGAAAGCTTAATTTGTTTATAGGAAAGACGTATATGGCCAGAAGGGATTTTTTGTCCTATAGGCTACTAGTAAATTAAAGAGTGGGTTACAACCCCGTGACCCCTTCAAAAGTCGCCACTATAGATACGCTTATACTTTTAAAATTGTTGTAACTTCAGGAGATTTTACTTTATATATATATATATATATATATATATATATATATATATATATATATATATAAATGTTAACTGAAATAATAAAAAAAATTTGTTATAATTGAGATTTAATATTCTTTAAGTCTTTCCTAGTCATCGAACCTAGGAATTTCCTTATTGGTTCATCTTCTTGTAGATCTCCGCTCTTATTTTTTTATCAATCTGACAATTTTGATTTTTTTTTTTACTGTAAATGACTGCGATTTGAAAAATACATGAAACTTGTGCGTAATCTACGTTGGAGTTACGTCTCTTCACATAGAAGTACATGTAGTTTTATTGCGCAGCTGTTCTCCTTTGATCAAAATGCACAATTATAGTTATCTCTCCAGTCAAATTTTAAGGGAAAAAATTGCATAAAATGCATAGAATTTGATGTAAGAAGAATTCTGAGAAACGGATTTTTTTGTAGAAAAAATGTCTTTTTTTTATCCTATATTGGCCCCCAGAAAATAATGGAAATTCCAAAAACCCCATTGCATGTCTACAGGATACCACCAATCATAAATCATATCGGCTACTGCTTAAAAAGTATATATATGGGCATGAAGAAGACAGAGTAACAGATGGACGGACCGGAAAACAACTTTCTTTAGAAAGAGTAGGTACCAAAAAAAATTAAAGAAAGGAAAAGGCGTTATGAGACATGGGGGATACGTACTTAAATTCTCCAATATGACGAATCCTTAGTCTTTTTTTTTTTTTTTTTTTGGAAATCAAATTAAAATGGAGGGTAAGACGATTTGACGCCATTTATCACGACTTGCACGGTTACCATCTCAATGGCGATTGATATATTTTTCAATTTTTATATAGGATACTCGAGCATAAATCAGTATCTTTTTTATGCAATTAAAAGTTTAATTTGCTGTAAAAATAAATTAGAGTTTATTTAATCGTCATAAAAAACTTAAATGAGATAGGATGAATTAAACTACATGTAATATGATGGTAAAAACTATTTGGAATGACTATTTCTAAGAATCGAAGGCATAAACTTTTGAAAACCATCCATTAATCATCTCCAAGAGAAATAAAAATCACCAGACATTCGAACAACCATGTAACACCCTTGCTAACAGAATTCTGTGATGTGGTAAATTAGATCATGGTTTATCACAGAGTTGTGATACGAAATTAAATGTTCTGTGAACACTGATTAAAGGTTTTTATGTGCATAAAAAAATCAGTGTGATTTATTTGTTTCTAAGCACTCATCTCAAATTGTTAAGAAGATGTCCTTAGTGGGCAAACATAAAAAAAAATGGGCTTTTTTTTTTTTAATAATAAATATTATTTCTAGTCTGAAATTAAAGTATTTATTGTAGCATAACTTCTGTTTAAAAAAGAATCTTGGATTGATTGATTATTGTTTAAAACTAAGTCGGCAGTATTTCAGCTGTACATCAGCCATAGGAATGCTGGAAATGGGGTATATTGTAAAAGAAAAAAAGGGGTTTTTTTTTTAGATTTCGCCCAAAATTGACCCCCAGGATACAAATAGAATTCCAACACCTTATTCCGATCTACAGGATACCACCATCATATATATCAAAAGATGATTCTGCTACTGTGTAAATAATGTTAGAGGAGTTCTGGCAACCAGGTATTTGTAGCAAAACCGTCGTTTTCACCCCAGTTGCCCCTAGAATGACAAAGAAAATTCCAAAACCTTTTTTGCACATCTACAGGACACTGCAAATAATACTTATTAAAGGTGTATTGGCTACTGCTTAAAATGTATAAGAGGAGTTCTGGGAACCAGGGTTTTGTAGGAAAAAAAGTCGTTTCTTTACCCAGAATGAAAAGGAAAATTCCGAAACCTTTTTGCACATCTACCGCACTCCACTAATCATATACCAGAAAATGAATTGACCACTACATGTACTTAAAATGTAAGAGGAGTTGGAGGAAGAATAAAGTGTGACAGACGGACGGACGGACCAGAATATCAACAATATACCCAAACTTTCTCTAGAAATTCAGTATAAAATATAGTGTTCCCAGAAATTATTAAGACTATTTTTATATGATACATTTATTTAAAATGTTCGATCAATTTATTACAATATAATTTAATGTTACTATTTTAATAAATGACAATACCCCGTACTTTCTAATGACACATGCAGTTTTAATGGATAGAATCCCATTTATTTAATATACTTCCTGTTGTCTGCTGATGTTCAAAATTACTGCTATTGAAAATAGAAAGCCTGAAATGTATAAGTAAGGGATTGTTAAATCTGATGATATTTCTGAATCACCGAGTATTTCACTGTGTGGTACAAAATTAAAAAAAAGAGGAGGAATTCAGTTAAGGAAAAGAGTTTGTAGGCCAAGTAAACTAGCATTCACATATCGAAGAAGCTCGGCAAGAACAAGACGAAGTGTAGAAAAATGGGGGGTTATTCCTAGCCCTACCAGCTCTTTCCCTCTGCCGAATCCCTTTCCATTTTTCAATATTTTGTCCCATGTGAGTCAATAGTAGACAGGAGAATACTCGGTGTTTCAGAAGTATCGCTAGTTTAGCAATTCTTTGATAATAAACATCTACAATAGGCTTTCTTTTTTCAAAAGCACTCATTTTGAACATTAGTAATCGACTGAAAGTATACTAATTATAAAGCCCCGTTCACATGCGCTGATTTACTCACTGGGTGCAAATTTTGCACGCATGCAAAATGTGCGCCCGGGTATAAATTTGAGCATGTGAACGCAATTGCATATATGCAAAAGTAAATATACATATGTGCAAATATACACCCTGGTGTAAATTTGCATCTACTGAGACCAGGTGCAAGTATACTTTTGCATATGTGTAAATGTACTCCAAGTGTATTTTTCGGCATGTGAACGCACAGCAAATTTTACAGCCAATACAATGTAATAGCAACTTGCTTTTGGGCCTTTAGTGGCTGGCGAACACATTTTTCCTTGGGAGCTAAGTAATTGTCCAGATCATAATAATTACAAAGCATTTTGAATGAGGGTCTTCCCATTTGAAAGTCCTCAATCCATTGAGAGTCGTCAATCCTTTGTAACACAATTTTCTCGTACCAGTCCGTTGATCTTTCCCTAGCCCATAATTGATCCCTCAAACGACCTAGCCCAGCATAAAAACCTAAACCTACACAGTCTGAACCTAAAATAATTTGCCATCTTTTTTGTTAAACTTCATGAATCATTGAAATTTAATCTAAATTGTTAAGTTCCATGTGAACCCTTAGCAAATATACTTTTACACCTGGGTGCAGATTTTGCACGCATGCAAAATTTGCACCCGGTAAGTAAATCAGCGCATGTGAATGGGCTTAAGAAAAAGTTATTCATGAAAACTACGTATAGCATTTTTGCTTTTGCTACGTATAGTTATTTTGCTTCAAATTCGTACCATAAATAAGATATCAGAAAGCGGGGTAAATAAGAAATGTTATACTAGTAACATTATTCTTTCAGGACCTCGTACAGTTGACATGACTGCAAATTGAAGCATATTTCAACTCGGATAATTTCTGTAGATTTCATGATAATTCAAAGACTGAAATTCATACTACATGTACCTTATAAAATTATGTGTCTAAGGTTAAAAAAGTCCTTTGATGGAAATTTATTTAAATTTCCATATATTCCATGAATATATTTGTCCAGGTCGTTCTTTGTGCATGGGTGAATTAAACTTGACATGATAACACTCAGACTGACACGTGAAGAGAAATTCCTCTTCGTTTATTAATGTACATGTACACGATTTCTCTATCAAGCTATCAGGAAATATATGAAATATATAATTTCAGAAACTACACGGATGTTATATCTCCCAGTACATGCACATATTTCAAATATACCAATGTAATATTCTTCAGAATTGTTCTTTGTGCAGAAATATTTTGGTCATTGGCCTCTTGCTTATCAACACTGTAAGACTTCCAAAAAGTCGGTAAATTGTGACGGCTCCGCTGTACAAACATCCTGAAATCTCTACTGGGTTTGATAAATGCTAAGAATCATTGCATTGATCACAAAAGGGACCTACTTTCCAATATACTAGCTCTGCAGGGCTGATATTTTGTTTGGCGGTCATAAATAAAAATCAGACATGGTATGATGGATCTAAGGGAGTTTGGAGATCGATGAATAAATATTTACACGATTCGTGATATATACAGTCGCTGTATCTTCAACGAGTATTTTATTTTATTTAAAGGCGGATCAATGTTTTTAACCCTTTGAACAAGAGTTGGTTTTGATGTCGAAAATTATATGTAATATGGAGATAACGAACAGTAATCAAGCTCAAAAGTCCATAGAAACAATACAAATCGGGAGCAGAGCAAACACGGACTTCTGAAAAATATCAGAGGTGACATGGAGGAGTAAGCATCCCCTGTCGACCAGTCACACCCGCCGTGTGCTCATTGTCTTGATCGGGCAAACGGAAAAATTCAGTGTTTAAATAATGGCCAAAAAGTTAGTATGAAAAACGTCAGTCAGCATGCGACTTAATGATAGATTGTATTTGCTGACAAGGTCATGGTACAATCGACCATAGAGCTTGCGAAATGATGACTTTAAACGAGACTGTTGATATCCTTGTTTTATCAACTTGTTTGTCAATAGCTTGCCCCGTTTTAGAATTTGTTCGTACGTGGAGCATGCTCTCGCGTGTCGAATAAACTAGGAGATGTGAATCTCATATGCAGGTGATAAGGGTATTTTGCTACATGAATAAGGGAAGTTGACGATAGAAAAATTAAAGTCATCAGGTTTATCATAAATATTTTGTGTTAGATTACCATTAACTTTATCATTTAGTAAAATCTCCAAATATGAAACAGAATGTGTCAGACTCTGTGGTATCTTTTATTTCAAGTTCACTGGGATATATAAAGTCGACATATGAATGGAAGTAACTATTGTTGATTGATAATACGTAGTCGAGTTTTTCTAAACGTCGAGTTGAAGGCCACAGCAATAGTTGTCTTTTTCTTATGTAGAAGTTTTTGAATAAATTCTGCTTCATAAGAATAAAAAATAAGTCTGAAAATACTGGGGCCTTATTGGTAGCCATGGAAATCCCGACAGATTGTTGGAAGACCTGATCTCCAAAAACTACATAGATATCCGAGACAAAACTTCGACGAATTTTGTTATTGTCGTAGGCAATTTTTAATAAAACATATATACGCGAGAATGAAGTCTATGCGAACAGATGGTCTCGCGAATTAAAAATAAGTTTCACAGTATTTGACAAGGTAACGCCGCAACCAAATATTTCAGATTTATTTACTTTGTTATATTTTGCTTTGATATTCATGCAAAATGTAATAAAGCAAAACGTAATTGCAGCTTATAGACATGTATAACATTGCATATCGGTATAACATTTTGTGTTATAACTCAGCTATAATTAAATCTATACATAGGCAGACAAACGGACGGATTGAGCTCTTTATACTCAAATTAATCATTTTATTTGATGAATGATATATGTAAGCTTGTTTTTAATTTATGGGATGAAGTGAATATTGCTAAAAACTTTGCAATCAAGAGCATTGTAATGGAGTGTGTCCCTTTTCAGTCTACCGCTGAAAATGCATTTGAAGGAAGCAAAAGGAAAACCTTTAGAAAGCTGAAAGCTCTCAACATTTGATTACTAAATACATGTATACATGTAACAGGTGCAAGAATCCCCTGACATTTTTTTTTCTTTTGATTAGCCCAAACGATAAATAGATGATCAAGTTTAAAGTAAACGAGATTCCACTTGACATTTTCATATCCTCGGCCCATTAAAGAGTCTGGGGCAGGGAAATTAACTCCACGCACGAGATTAAGCAGTAAAACACAAATCCTGATAGGTTTGTAAGATTAACGATCTTCACGCTGCACTGAACCTTAACAAGAAATACCTGTTTGTGCAAAGGTAGAGAGCTTTGATGTTTTCACCGCCGTTGAAATATGAGATGAATGCCAAATGCAGCATCAGTAATTCCCAAGGCTTGTGTTAAAAGAAAGTTGCTATTTTTCTGCAATGAAAATTAAATTATCGAACCGTTTTGTGTTAAATACCTAGACAGGTATGCACGTTTACCTCATCTCCATATCTTGCCGAGGGTTAAAGATTATCTTCCCAAATTAATCTCCTTAGTTAAAAAAATTAACATGTCTTATCTAGTCTGTAAATTGCATCAAGAATTACATTCAACATCACAAAATTTCTTTCGAGCAGGAATGCATTTTCCTTAAAAATGAATTTCTAAAATAAACCCTTGGTTTATACAGAGCAATGATGAAATTACGATGTAGTGCAGGCCAATTTAACTCGAGATAAGATTTAGGTAGATACGGAAGCTAGATCTGAAAGTAGGTAGTTTGCCGTTACGGTAACCTTTGAACTTTACAAAAATCTACACAGTGTACAGTCGTATTGCGTTACTCATATTTTAACCCGAGTGAGTCGGCTTGAGGTCTATTTGTTCCAACGGACGTTGTTATTTTTTTAATTCTAAATTCTTAAGTCATGAAATTGTCGCTTGCTGTTGGGTAAGGATTTTAAAATTGAAGTTAACAAAACGAACTTGGTGCAGTTAAGGTGGATGTACTCAAATTGAATTTCCTCTCGTTGGAAGAAATGAAGTAGGACACAAAATCATTCCTCATCTCGACTTAATTTATTTAATTGCTCATTTTACGGGCGGAACGAGGTGCTTTTTACTTAATTCTTGGATATAATGAAAACTATGGAATATTCTTACTTTTGTGTCTTCATAGTGACAATTTTAACTGTTGTTAAAGCAACTTATTACAAAACACAACTACAAGCTTTACGAAATAGACCAGTTTATTATCCTTACAGAACGATTTCAGCAAACAGGTAATATTTATCACTTTGTATTCATTGATTTGACAATTGTATGTGATTTTCATTATAAATGTATACTGAGCACCACTCATATTTTTTTTCGCACTGTGTGAGCTTATGCCTTATCACAAAAATTTGCGAGTCTGAAATTCTGAAGCTTATTTGTTTATATCGAGCAGTTTCTATCCCACCTGATGTGTTCTGTTATAAATCCGAGGATTCCTATCGCTCAATTTGAATTTTATAGATTTACTGTGTGAAAAGCAAAGAAAGCCAATACTGCTTATCGTTTAATTAAACAAAATTAGCTTAGCGAATCTGGCCTTAAGAATAGATAAATTAAGCATGTCGAATGAAACCCAGTCTCTTATCTCAAGCTAGAACCTTTTTATTGCCCTAAATCCTAAGGAATTCCTTATCTTCACAAAGAATTGTTTTCGCTTTCTTACGTAACCGAACTCTCAGTCATGTTTTGAAGGCTTGCAAACTCTTATTTCAAATTTATTAAATCATGCAAAATTCATCAATATTTTTCACACAGAACGTTGACAATTTATAACTGATCCAGTTTAGCAAAATACGTATGCTTTGAATTCGATGTAACCCAAACAATTGTACAACAAATGTTAGATCTTAAATGTCACTCATAAGACCCTCTTTGAAGTTGCTTTGCAATTTTGCATTATACTGTCTTTGTTCTTAAGTGTAATCGTATTTCTTTAAACGTCTCTCTGATAAGTCTTTTAAACCTGAAGTAAGCAGTTTTGTTTTAATGGCGATGAGGACATTTTATAGCGTTGTATCATCGATATCGTGTGATTCCAACATTAAGGGTGATCAAATTGTAAATATGAAAAGACAGTCTATCTTCGTTTTAAAACCCCGAAATTCTGCACGTGTCGTTCTTAAACTTGAAATGGTGTCCTGAACTGGAATTATACCTGGTACCACCGGGTATGGAGCGGTTTAATGATGTTTCTTACGAATATTTACCGGTGTTTAGCAAGCATCAAAGAAAACCGTTAGGGAACCATTGACCTAGTATCGAACATTAACCAATTTGTGCGCCATTGACGAAAATTTATGTGCAAGTTTCTTCTATTCCAGCAGACAACACAAATACAAACGTAATTGAACATGAACAAGCACTCTAAGGCTGCTCAATTTAATTTGGAACACATATTGGAAGAATTATATATATAAATTCCCAATTTCTATAAAGAGCCCAATGTTTACTTGATCCTGCTATGATTTCTCGCAGACTTGAATTTTTCCCGCAAATTTTCTCTGTCTGTTTTATTCGGTTTTGATGTTAAGATTTATATTTAGCTGTACTGAATTCCGGGAGGAAATCTGATTTTTGCTGAGATAGACAAAGGAAAGATAATCAAAGAATCTTTAGCCTTTAGGATATATTGTTATGTAGTGTATCTAGGAAACAGAAAGTAAAAACATACATATCGTGCTGAGAACTCATTTCCGATAACACTGCAATGGAAAAGCAGGGATCATTACTCACATTCTTCGGTTTCTATAACGACGATAAATCATTTAAAAAGCTTCACACACTGTAATTTTTCAAATGAATTCTAATTAACCTTTTCCCCGCTTCTTACTCTACAAATTTCTGTAGAAGCAGCTTTTTCCTTAACTTTTCGAATTATCTTAACAATTTGAGTATTTCTGTCTGAAAAATGGAACAAGGTCCACGTTGAGCCGTAAATTCGATTTCTGGAAGATTTCAATTAAATATAAAACTGGTGAATCATCTTCTCTCACAATCGCGCTCTTCAGAATCATTTGGAGGGTAATTTTGTGCTACATGTGTTCAAGCTCAGGAAAACTTCATCACTTTATCAAAGCCTTGTTCGATGATAGTGATGATATATAAAGCAAGCTCCTTTTTTTATTCGTGAACATGGTTCATGGACAGCTTAGTTAGGTTTTTTTTTTTTTTTTTTTTTTTTTTTTTTAATACTACTGAAGTGGCCAAAGTACGCTGAGACGACCCCTATGGCCTCTATCAAGATTTTTCTCATTCTTATATTACTCATTCTTATATTATAATGAACAATGTCCGCAGTAGACCAATATAAATCACACAATTAGTACTTTATCAAGTATTCATGCATGTTGATTTCAAGTACGTTACAATTTACAACATATTTCAATACAGATTTCCCACGATTTTTTTTTCTTCTTGTACAAAGATACATAAGTTTACATACAACTTGTTGCAATTTTTGTTTATTGATAATGTTTCTTTCAGCAACGGTAATTCTTTCAGCAACAGTAACTATTGCAGTAAATCTATTGTCACATATCAATCCAAATGGTGTTGGGACCAGTAAGTATGGCGGCTTGAATTCCCATTGTCAAGGCAACTGCGCAAACTTATGCTTTCTTTGTATAGAAAGATGACGTCATTTCATACGATGATGGGCATGGCTACTACTCAAAAAGAACGATTTCTTATCATCCTCTAAACAAGATTAATGAAGCATGATATGTTATTCTAATTAAATTTCCTCGACTTTTGCAACATCTTTGCTGAATAGAATTTCGGATTGCTATACACAGAACTCAGATAAACAATATACATTATATACTAAGACTTTGAATGTTGTATTTTACCAAAAGAATAGATCTAGGTACTTAAGATATAACGTTATGTACATGTATGTTGTAAATTTCGTAGAAGTATAAAAAAAAAATGTAGCATTCGACGTAGCCTGGTGTTTTTCCTAGGATAATATTTGCATGGTTTGTAGTTCGGTTCTCTCAACAATCTCTCTAGAAAACTAGATATATGGTAATTATTTTTGATAACTACATGTATATTGAATGTAACACGTGGGTTTTTTACACTAAAAACCATGGCTTTTTCCACAGATTACAGCGTCAATGGATACTCAAAAAACAACCTATAACACAGACAGTTAAAGAATGTTGTCCGGGATATGAGGGCAGAAACTGTGAAAAACGCAAGTATCTCACTTTTTAAAAAAAATATGGGGAAATAAAGTAATACATTTAATATGATTTCAGAATTATGATCATCATATATGCTTATCCGTGAGTTGAAGATAAAAAAAAAAGTTTATCCTTTAATTAGTGTGATGATTTTTATATGAACAGTCTGAATAGTAATTTTCCCCTGACAGATTTTAAATGTTTATCTTTTTTTTCAGTTTGTTTTACATGTGATCAATATCACAAATTAACCAATCAAGTATCAGTGTTAGAACGAGAAATACGAAATCGAGGCAACACAACTGTAAGTTTCAATTTGTCCATAGGAAAATTCGAAAATTTCACATAGTAAGAAAACTAGAAAACTTGAATGTATAAATGTTAAGTTAAACAAAATTGATTGCTTGTAGACTATAATAACCGGGAGAGGGGAAAAGGGTGAGCGTGGATTAACAGGACCCCCTGGACCACGTGGTCCACAAGGTGAACCAGGATTGGTTGGATTACCAGGCCAGAAAGGTGATCCTGGGGTGGCAGGTTTGTATTGAATGTATACCTCTTCTACGCAGTCTGGATGTAAAATAGACATAATTCCATGAAAATTAAATTTTTCAAAGCCTCAGACAGTTTATTCTAAAGCAGTAAACTTGGCCTTGGAATTAGACTCAAAGAAAAGGTTTATTTTTAAGGCTGAAAACAAGGTGTAACTGGTACATTTCTGAAAGAAGGGAGCACGTCATTATTATTAGAGCTACATGTACTTTTTAAGAAAAAGATTTTTCTAAGGTTTTAAATGATGTCCATATATTTGTGAGACCAATAGATTTTAGATAACTGGAGAAAAAAAGCATAAATTAGCTTTATTAATTGATCGTTTAACGTTGTGAACATAATTCAAACTAATTGAACATTAAATGAAATGAGAATGATATCATTACCTTAAATTTATTCGCGATCGAATGCCCTTATAAACTTTATACTAAACTCTATACTCAAAGCATTTGCAATTTTCGTAGCTCTGTATGTTTCAATTAAGTTACACATTACAGCCCAGCTGGCAGGTGTAGGTGTACAATCTGGTGGTCTCGCAATCTTTTCATTTTCCAGTGCAATATGTAGACGGGCAAATTGCATAACGAAGGCTTCTGAAATACAATTTCTTTACTTAATTAAGAAATACAACACTTAATATGATCATGTTTATGTCAGGTCCACCGGGGTTTACTGGTGAAAGAGGAAGTGATGGATTACCGGGAGATCCCGGGAGACCGGGAAGAAAAGGAGACCCCGGTCCCATAGGTCCTAGCGGTCCCCCAGGACTGCCAGGTCTGGATGGTACTAGGGGCCCTCCAGGGGTGCCAGGACAAAAGGGTGCTAAGGGGGACCCAGCTGGTGATGGGATTACTGGTGTGTTTTGATTTTTTCCTTATATATAAATATACAGCCCGCATCTACTATTAATACAACAAATGTACTTTTTTTCATTTTCAATGGATCTTTTATAAAGATCTAAATATGGACTTTTGCCATTGTCACAAACATGACTATATTATTTAAGTCATTATGTGATTAAAAATTTCCCAATATAGATATTCATAATACAGTTATTTTTGTAATTGCATGAAAGTTCTTGTGTCTTTAAAACATTTCATGATCCTGTCCTTTCAGTAACAGTACATGTTGTGCTTGATTTGTAATTTACGTTTCAGTTTTGTTCTGTGATGCTATTCACATGTTTTTTACTTATATGGATTTTTTTTCATTTAAACATTATTTACCAGTGGCAAATTAAATTCCATTCATTTTCATGCATTTTAATTTCTTTCAGTTGACCAATATACGTTCCTAGTTGAAAAAATTGATGTAAGTTAACTTACAACATATTTTTGATTGTTGTTGTCAATAAACATGTATAGCAATTCTGAATCTAAGTAGGGTATATTTTTTCTGTCATAAATATTTCTTATAATTCAACTTTTTGATTTTAGAATTTAGAAAACAAGAATGGATTACCCGGTAGAGATGGTCCACCGGGTCCACCTGGACCCCCAGGGCCTGAGGGGTCACAAGGCAGACCGGGAATTCCTGGAGCGAAAGGAGTCCCAGGGGACATAGGATTACCAGGAGAGAGAGGCCCACAAGGTATAGTCTTAAATAATCAACGAACATAATTATTTACTCTTAATTTCATTTCATATCGTTTCCATGACTAGTCCATTTTTATAGGATCTGTTGGACTTCCTGGAGAACCCGGAAGAAATGGAAGACCTGGCCCCAAAGGCGAGCGAGGGGATTCAGGTTTGCATGGAGCTCCAGGACCCATGGGTCCTGCAGGAAAGGCAGGACTTACGGGTGAACCCGGCTCACCAGGCAGCCCAGGATTACCCGGCCCCCCGGGCGAGAAAGGGGAGATTTCACAATTTCCTATTTCAGGTGTGTAGTCAATTTTTACTTTCCAAGCAAACTGTTACAGATAGAAACATAATTCAATTGTATTGGTTTTACCTGCAAACAATGTTATTCTAAAATTGTGATTCGTAATTGGAATAAGGCAACTGCAACTCGCTGCATTCGAATAATTAAATACAATACTTGACTATACATGTATAACTTACTGGTCTGTGAACACAAAATCTACAACCATATCTAATATACATAAATCTGCAACCACTTTAACTCTGTTCAGACTTTGTTTCGGTGATTTCTTGCCTCTTGCCAAAACCATGTTTCAAAACGGCAATCATTTTAAAACTTTCGAAGCAAGACTGAAAACTCTATTGAACATTGTGAAAGAGCCAAGGGTATCACCTAAATGAATTTAATTGTAATTTATTTCACCTCAGTGATTTTTATACCATCGCTCCGAAGGAGAGGGGGTATACTATTTTACCCTGTCTGTCCTGTGTGTCTATTTGTCTGTCTGTCCGTAACAAATTTTGGTCGCAGTTTTCTCAGCAACTACTCATCGCAGATGCTTGAAATTTTAGCACACTCTTTGTTTAGGCATGTCATATGGTGGGATTCATTTTTGTACAAATCTGATGTCAACTTCCTGTTCATTCGTGCGTCTGTCCGTACCAAACATAACAAATTTTGGTCGCAGTTTTCTCAGCAACTACTCATCGCAGTTGCTTGAAATTTTAGCACAACCTTTGTTTAGGCATGTCATATGGTGGGAATCATTTTTGTATGAATCCGATGTCAACTTCCTGTTTATCCGTGCATCTGTCCTTACTATCCTTAACAAATTTGGGTGGCAGTTTTCTCAGCAACTACTCATCGCAGATGCTTGAAATTTTCACACACTCTTTGTTTAGGCTTGCTATATGTTGGGATTCATTTTTGTACAAATCCGATGTCAATTTCCTGATTATCACTGTGTCTGTCCATAACTGAACTTGTGTATTCACATCAGAGTGGGGGTATTATTAGTGAGCACTGGCTCACAGACTTCTTTTTTTTTATATCGATATCGGATAAATTCCAAACATATAGACATTAATTGATATACAATGGATATTTTTTTTCAGTTGCTGAATATAAACTTTTGGTCAACCGTGTAGAGGTAAGCCATTTTATGAGTGAGTAAAATACTTGATATCTCAGTTACTTAACTTAGCGAAACTCTTTCGTGGTGGAGGCAGGAAACGTCAATTACATGTAGCTGGGGGCAATGTGCAGTTGAATACTATGAGATAGATCACTGTAGATTTTTAAAGGACATAGAAGAAAGATGTCCTGATGAAATATCTCGCTAAACGTTCGGTGCACCGCGCTGATAAGATTTAGGAGATGTTAGTTCTCTTGTGTTCCATTTTGGAAGATATTTTGGAACGACTTTACTTTACCGGTCCCCAGAAAACGCGCAAAAATATAGTGTCGCCATAGGCGACTTCAGTATATATGAGGTCGCGTGAGCGATCGAAAAAAAGAGAAAGTGCAAGGGATTCGGCCTTTTTGACCCAAAAATGGAATTCTCCGGTTAAAGGTTTACTTTAAAACTTTGTTTTTAAACGAAGTGTTTTACTTCGTTCTCTGAAAAAAAAAATTAATAGATATTGTTTATTCATTGAAAAATCGACAAAAATGATTGTCAACGAAGAGTGTGCGGCGCATGCTTAGTGCCTTTCTTTCGTACTTGCCATTTTTTTCATGTAAACAAACCAACGAGATGTCGTTGAAGCTGAATTAAGATCTTGCAAAAAGTACAGATGCAACTGAATTTCTTAATCAAAAAAAAAAAACGAGTCACTAACCCTTATCCCTCGGATGGTATGCGAGGACTACCCCATATCTTCCGGACGCTAGACTAACCCTAATCAGTCGAATACTTTTACAAGGACTAACCATAAACTCTCGGATGGATACGAAACTAAGTTAAACCCTAATCAGTCGAATATTTGTGCAAGGTCTAGCCTTAATCTCTCAGGTGGGTGTAAGGTTAACCCTAACCAGTCGAGTAGTGTTCAAGAATAATCCTTATAATTTATCAGTTGAGTGACGTAAATCTTACGTCATAGTGCAATGAGCGCGGATCTTGCGGATCTGGGTACCGGTAAAGTAAAGTCTACCCAATATTTTCCGCTGCCTGAGCTCTCTCTTCTAACCATGAACTCAACCCTTTCTTTCGGATTAACGTCACTTTTGGAAGTCTAATATTCCGAATAATATGACTTGCTTTCTGAAGCACAACCATTGTACTCATTGTACGAATCATGCGTAAACAATGTGTTATGCCCTGAAAATGACGCGATATTCTCTTTCTTGATATCACAAAAGAGCGGCAGTAAGTTAGATAACTGCGAGGTAATCGCGATACTAAGTATTCCTTTGAAAATTTTAATTTGAAACAACTGTTTACTCTGACCATATAGAGCTAAAGATACATGTAGATCTATTCGTAATTTCTGTATTCTTTGCTACAGATGTTGTAAATGCATATAAACGAAATTAATTGCCCAATATATGCCGAAAATCTTTCCTACGGAAAGAAAAATAATCGTTGACGCTTTAATCCCAAGATACATGCAAAGTAGAAGGTTCATTGAAAGGATTGATAATTAACGTTTTGTACATAAATAAAAGATAACTTACATGAAGAAAAACATTTACGGAGATAATTGAACAATTCTTTTTTTTTTCTCTCGATTTTCAGGAACTAGAGAAAACAGTAGCCATATGTTGTGCTCCGTCAACCACTCCTTTAATCACTACAACACAGTTCCGTAAGTACATATCCCGCACCATTACCTGCAGTGTAACTTTTGAAGTAAATGTCAACTCTTATATTTAATTATTAAACAAATTAAATCCGTTTATCGATGGTTTACTCGACACTGGCTATATTAAAAGAGAAGTACATTCTACATGTTCTATGTTTCTGAATTTTGATCAATAAGGAAATAGATTGTTTTTATGAAAAGCATTTTGAAAGCCTTTCTTGAAGGCCTATTTCGAGTTATATGAACAAAAGGTCTTGCCATTATATTAAGAATAAAAAATAATTATTACCTTAATAGTGTTAATTTACTTCTTGCAGAGTGTGCAGCAGACCAGCATTTATGCGGAGGCACTAATCCTAGATGTATACCCTCGCAATTCGTTTGTGACGGATTGGCAGACTGTGATGATCAGTCAGACGAATCGTCAGATCTCTGTGGTCAGTTTTTCCACCTCAAATATTGTAAAATTACCTTGATTGCTGATGAAAAAATGTTTTTGGAGTTCGAAATATATATATCAATACATAAACGTGATGACCATGTTCATCATTTTTGTATCATCAATAGTGTCAGTATGAATGAAATAATTTTCTGCTTTGTATTAAAATTTCAATGGTGTCCGCCGATGTATTAAGTTAATGTTGCATTAAGTACGTTTTTTTTTTTTAAATTTATAAAGCTTAGAGCTTTAGCACACTCTAAGTACGAATACTCTCTTGAGAGTATGCAAAGAAAAACTGAACGACCGTATGATGTGGTAAATGGCGCTATTTGAGCAAAAGTGTTTGCGCACATTCATTTGCCTTGTCTCCATCCTGTGACAGAGCAAATGACTTACTCTAAAATTAAACCTTTTGTACAAAAAGGATGTTTTGTTTTGATGGGATCTTTCTGTTTTATATACTTGGAGATAGAGAATTACTCGCTTTTTAAAAATGATATTTCATCTTCCCTGCTTGTGCCGCTCAACGACTGGGCGACTTTTAAAATAAACTGGAAATAATGAATAAACAGCGACCAGTAACATAACAATTTGAAATTCGGTATACATTTCTCCAACCACTGTGACAAGTAATGTAGTGGCAGAAATATGCCGTCATATATATGTTTGTTCTTACTTATAAAGATACTTAAGTCTGTTGACTGTACAGAGAGTAAAAAAAAAAAAAACAAGAGGCCCAGGGGCCACATCGCTCACCTGAGCACTATGGCTAGGAAAAAGCAGAAATCACTTCAATCTTGAAAGGTTGAAAAGTTTAAATATAAAAGTGGTTTGGGGGGGGGGGGTGTCATGAATTGAACAAATTTGAATCTACATTATCTGAGGATGCTTTCATTTAAATATGACCAATCATGGCTTTGCTGTTCTTGAGTAGAAGATTTTTAAAGATTTAACCTATGTATTCCTATTTAAAACTTTGATCACCCATTGTGGCCCCACCCGACCCCCAGGGGTCATGTTTGAACAAACTTGAATGTACACTATCTAAGAATGCTTCCATATAAATATGACCAATCATGGCTTTGCTGTTCTTAAGAAATAGTTTTTTTTAAAGATTTTTACTATGTGTTCCTATGTAAAACTTTGATCGCCCGTTGTGGCCCCACCCGACCCCCGGATGCATGATTTGAACAAATTTGAATGTACACTATCTGAGGATGCTACCATATAAATATGATCAATCATGGCTTTGCTGTTCTTGTGAAAAAGATTTTTAAAGATTTTTCCTATATATTCCTATGTAAAACTTTGATTGCCCATTGTGGCCCCACCCGACCCCCTGGGGGTCATGATTTGAACAAACTTGAATTTACACTATCTAAGAATGCTTCCATATAAATATGACCAATCATGGCTTTGCTGTTCTTAAGAAATAGTTTTTTAAAAAGATTTTTACTATGTGTTCCTATGTAAAACTTTGATCGCCCGTTGTGGCCCCACCCGACCCCCGGGGGTCATGATTTGAACTAAATTGAATCTACACTATCTGAGGATGCTTCTAAGTAAATATGACCAATCATGGCTTTGCTGTTCTTGAGAAGAAGATTTTTAAAGATTTTTCCTATATATTTCCTATGTAAAACTTTGATCGCCCATTGTGGCCCCACCCGACCCCCGGGGGTCATGATTTGAACAAACTTTAATCTACACTACCTGAGGATGCTTCCACATAAGTTTCATGTTTTCAAGCACAGTGGTTCTTGAGAAGAAGATTTTTTAATGATGCCATTAATTTTTCACGAATTCTTAAATATCTCCCCTTGGAAGAAGGTGTGGCCCTTCATTTGAACAAACTTAAATCCCCTTTACCCAAGGATACTTTGTGGCAAGTTTGGTTGAAATTGGCCCAGTGGTTCTGGAGAAGAAGTCGAAAATGTGAAAAGTTTACAGACGGACAGACCGACGGACTACAGACAAAATGTGATCAGAAAAGCCCACTTGAGCCTTCGGCTCAGGTGAGCTAACGAGAAAATCACATTGCAAGTATGAATAAATTAATTACATAATCAAAATTGCTAGAAAAATCAGCCTAAATTTTAATTTGTTACATAAAAAAAGAATTTGTAACTTGATTTATAAAAATTCAGGTTTCGGATGTTTATTGTGACAAATGAAATATCAGAAAGGACAATAGAAAATTTGGTGCACAAAGATGGCATCATTGTCGCAAACCACGGTTTTGATAGATAGAATCGATGTGAATCACCCTTGGGTTACCGACGGTGAGGTGGCATAGTATTTGCAGTCATCATTGTACCGTCACATCACCTTACGCACTAAATTAAACGTTCATAAATGTGCTGCTCGAAATGTAGTGCTTGCTCTAACTCTTTGAAGACCTAAACATAATGATTTTTTTAAGTCAAATTGCAACTTGTCCATGCATTTTAATTCAGGTAAAACTCGACCAACTTGCCCAGAAGGATTGTTTGCTTGTAACAGCGGTCAATGTGTGAGATCAGACGCCAAATGCAACGGGACACCGGAATGTGCAGATCTTAGTGACGAGGCAGACTGCGGTAAGGAAGAAATGAGGACTCAAATGCCTATACATGTGTGCAAAATACACGAACGTTAAGCTTTGCTGCTTCTATTTACCAAGGCAGCTTATCCTCAGTTTCACAGGATACCATTTCGTATAATATAATTTTGTCATCTTAATGTTGGCATTACAGTTTCTTTTTAAATATAAAACTGACATATCGAAGTTGCATTCATTTGGCTATTCGTAGCTCGTTGATACATCAACTCATTCTTGATGACTTTCATTCACTTTATTATTTTTTTTATTTGTAATAACATTTTTGTCAGATCCTCAATCAATTTTACATTATTCTTTATTTCAGATGATGACATTGAAATAAGTGGGGATAACGTAAACAGAGGTGACATACCTAAATAATAATAATCCACGAGGGTTTATCACTTCACCTTGCCGCACTCCACGGTTGTTGTTTCTCAGTGAGAGTTCTGCACATCACTGCCAACTATGGAGATAAACTGACACTTTTTGTTGATATTTTACTTTTTTAAATTACCTTAATTAAATTATACAATGTATGCGTATTTATTTCAATGTGTTAAGACTAGTTTACATGTAACATATTATTGGATTTTTAACAGGATTATTTTTTACTTTGTGTAATTTAACGATTTTTAAGAAAATATTATATTTATAAATTAAACACAATAAAATTGTAATAGTTCTAGTATATTTTTACATTATTTTATGTGTCAACCTATCGATCCCAGGGGCATATAAAAAAATACTGAAGAATAGTGACTAGCTTTAGCATTGTAAAAGCACTATACATGTATTATGTGACCATCATGTTAAACTTTCATAGTTTTTGATCACCATAGTTGTAGCTCCATAGTTGGTAATTTCACTTCACTGGATGCATGAATTAATTTTTTTTTTCAAATTTGTGCAAAGTATAACCAAATCGAATATTTATTCTGATCGAAATAAAATGTAAGTCATATCAAGATTGCATGAATGGACGGATATGTTTGTTCTTAAACTTTTAGAACTTTGTTGATAGGTACTTTCCTCAGATTTTTGTATCTAACAGTTTATTATGAAAACATTTTTCATGTATACAAGAAATTAAAACGAACAATATGAACTAATGTAAAGATTAAAACTCTATTTAGTTGCTTACAAAATTTTATACAATAGATAATTTATAGCTAAACATCTTTCAGGTAATTACTTTTATGTAGGTGAGCACTTAGCCCTTTGCAAAATCTTGCGCTTTGTTTCACGAATCTATTCACCAGAAGTCCGAATTTAAGAACTGTACGAAGCTGTACAACTGTCTTTAAATATTATTTGATAAAAGAAAAAAAAAAGGAAAGCAATGTTCATTTACATTGAATTTTCATTTGCATCTTCTATTTACAATTTAAATGCAATATTATTTTCTAAATAATTTTTCAAGAATCTGGTTTCATTTCGCTCTAATTTTCCTTTCTTAGATATTATAATCTGCCTCTACATATGTACCGTAGGTCATTTCAAAATAGTGAATATGATAATGCTTTGTCTTATTTAAATGAACAATAAAACATAAATATTCTCAATGAAATATTTTCAGTGTTTAGATGTTTCAATATATTTTTTCCTTCATTTATTTTGACATTTGACCAGAAAATCTACGGGTATAAATTAATGGAGTATTATTTGAAAAATATTTGAAGAATAAGTATCTCTACGTCTTACAATAAATAAATTTCGAATCTGCAATATAAAAAGTTTATTTGTGTAACACACCATTTATTTTAACCGCGACGTTGTGTTTTATGGATTATTTACAAATTGTCAGTTTAGCAAAAGAATGTATATATCGAATAGTACATGTATATGATTTACTAAAAAGTATTGTTATATTTTCATGTTTAATAAGAAAATTTGATTGGTTTAAAAGCAAAAAAGCAATTGTTCAAAAGTACTATTACCCTACCACGTGCATAAACCACGCCCTCCAGGTAACAGTACATAATAAAATGCATGACGACGGGTAACGGTATGAAAATTGTTAAATGCGCAGAATGTTTACGCGAACAGTTAGACAGATGCATTCTATATTAATGCATTCTTTAAAAAAAATTTACATATAAGTGTTTTTAAAGTGTTGATGACATCGGCTCCGCCTCGATCAACAGTGGTTTCGAAAGGTAACAATTTTACATGTTACCAAAAAACAAAAAACAAAAAAGAAAACATGTAATATTTTTATTTACTAGTATTCCGAATGCCATGTGATTACTTTATTCACGAAAATATCTATGCCTACTGTCATCTGTAATTATTTATACTTGATACTAATAGTAATGAAATGCTAATAAACCTATCTTCATGTAAATGTGTGATATTGTTTTGTTAATTAAAAAAAAGTATATGCACATTGAAAAAAAATATATGCAAAGGAAACACTGCACTATAAAATCGACAAAAGCATTATCTATCTATCTATCTATCTATCTATAATTTTATATATATATATATATATATATATATATATATATATATATATATATATATATATATATATATATATATATATATATATATATATATAGTTAAACGGAATCTCTTGTTCATCTGACGTATTACATGTATTAAGACAGCCCCCTAAGATAACAGAGATACATTTTCTTCGATTACCTGCAAGAACATTTTGAATGCAATTTTAAAATATGAATATGATTGCATACTCTTTTTTTATTATCACTTAAAAACGGATCAACACAATCGGTAGCATTAATTTTTTCTGAAATAAATGTTTAATAAACACAAGTACTCGTTTCCAGAAATCTTTCCGGAAAACACATTGGTGTTTGAAATTTTTGGAGAGGAAGTAACAAACACAGGTGAAGATGCTGATGCGCCTGCGCCAAAAATAAATAAAACAGAATTCGGCTTAATTGGAGAACGATTTGATTTAAAGGAAAAGGATGGAAGAAAATCGGGATCACTGTCAAGCAAAGAAAGTTTTGAAGAGACTACAAATGGAGGCACTTTTGATCAATTACTGTTCGATATGCCTCCTCCACCTCCGTTACCTTTCAAAGGAGAATTACGAGAACGATTATTGGCGCATGTGCAGAATTTCTCAGAGTGCCCTGAATGCCGAAATTTAGCTTTAGAGTATTACCGAAACAACAGCACGAACACAAGGAAAGAAGAACCTCAGTCAGGGGTCAATCTGTTGCAATCTGATAGGGTTGAACCTGTGCAATTTGTTATTGAAAACTCAGGCACTGGAAATACAAGAGACATGCTCATTATTCTAATCATTTTGTTGTTTCAATATTTTGTAACATTATATTGATGAGTTGAATGTTTTCAAACCTTTTCATTTTCTGCTATGCATTATTGTCTGTAAGTAACCATGTATTGTAGTAGGTAGTTATAACAATGAAAGACACATTCATCTTCTCTCTGATGTAATTTTTAAAATAAACTTAGAAGGTAAACATTGTATTATAAAAACAGCACAACTGAGTATATGTGAACATATATATAACACACGAGTCGTGCTAAGTGGGAAAAGATTCACTCTTGTTTAAATTTCATTATTTTGATCTTCCTTTCAGACATTGTTTGATTTTATACCTTTTTAAAAACTATATAATGTATGTCACACTAGTTACTCATTGTAAATAAATGTACATATCATCATAACACTTCTGTGGAATTAAACATTTAGATATTATTGTAGATGAAGTAGCACAAATGATTTAATTGCATAATTATCTGATACTTTAATAGAACGATCAATTTCTTTCCTGCAAAATTACATATAAATTCTTTCTGCTATACTACTGTAACATTGATTTATTTCAAATACACTTGTATCAATATTCCTATGTAAAACAAGAAAGTAATAATGAAAACATTGATGCAACAGTTGTGCTTCCGGATATTGCACCACTCCATACGTTCACATTCAAATATGTAAATTCAAGTTTAAATTAGCGGATCAGCCGCGGTGTGTTGGTTTGATGAACTCACTCCAAATGAGCCAAAAGCATCTGGATCTGCTCGTTTGTTAGGTGACGTCAGTCTCCTGACAACGTGTATCCAACTCACCAAATTTATATATATATTTTTCTTATTTCAAAGTATATATATTTCTTATTTCAAAGTTAATATTTTTATCAAAAAATAACTTAATTATGCATACGGTAAATAATGTGTCGTCATCTACACCTGTAAACACCCGTTATCGCCTGTGGCTGTGTTTATACAATTATTAGTGTCCAATCACCTGGTACACAGCTGTTCTCACCTATTGTTGTCCTTAATTTTTGAATGGCTTCAATGATTGTTTTCATTGTACATCGTTAAAGTATGGTCTATTATCTTCATTTTTAAATTATTTAGTTTATATACGGCAGCGAAAATGGACATGCATAGAAATTCCGCTACCCACATTAAAAGTGAAAAAATATTTAGAAATAACGCAAGATTGAAAAAAAATGTTGAAAATCAGTATGCGTAGTAGGTTTAGTGTATACCGTGGAAACGACCATCATATGAAAAAAAAAAAAAATTAGACTAGCGATCCCAACAACGTCCTTCCTTCTCTTTCCCTAGTTTAATCATCACAAACCTGCGTAACAGGTTGTCCTCCTTTTGCGTTGATCAAACAAGAACTGTAAACCAATTGTAATTTTGATGTATTAACTGTGTCTTTTGTGTTCATTTGATAAATAAATTTAGTACCACAAAATCATTTCCGTTGGAATCTATATTTATATACGTTTATAAACGTGATAAAAACAGCTTTGGGGTTTGACCGAGCTTAACGTGGCTCAAGAAAATTAACACACTTGTATTAATAAATTTTACGTTCTTACCGAGTACCCGGGTACTCGATCGGAAAAACGTCCGAGTAACCGATTATCAAAAATTGACCGATCTGACATCCCTAATAGATAATATACACATACTAGACGTTGGGTGAGCCGTGGCCTGGTGGGTTAAGAATGATTCTTCTACTGAGCCTAAAAGTAGCTAGATCTATTCTATGTCCACGAGCTTCTCTTCCACCGGGCTAACTTGATACTCACCTCTTTCAATGAAAAATTCAAAATTAATAGTCAAATAGTATTTTCATTTTGGATTTTTCGTCTTTTTTCTCCTTGCAAGTAATTCCTTTGTAATAGTTTAGTTCGGATTTACCAAAAGAAATTGATTTCTCATTCATTGTCATTCTGATAATTTTCATTTATCAGATATCTCATCTCTCAATATTACATTTCCGACATAAAAGTCTATACACATTTCTTAAAGAAGTCCTAAATTAAATATTGTTTTGATCAGCGAAGACAAACAAATGGTAATTGGAAGAGGAAAAATCCAGGTTTAACTACTTGGAAGAGAAAAAATCCAGGTTTATATTGTTAAACTATAGTGACTTAGAAAATCTTGAATAAAAGATTGGGCGATTATTCAATATATAGAACTTACAATAAAAAGTACGTTACATTCGTGATCAATTTATTTTACGATCATTTTCTAAATCGCAAAGTCTACTATGGGAAAATATAAAATCATAAGGATGTATGGGTGCATTCATTCATTTTGAATATGCCTTCTTTTATTCTTCCAGGAGCAGAATTTATGAGGCAACAATTGTATACTTCCGGATATTGCACCACTTCATACTTTCACATTCAAATATGTAAATTCAAGTTTAAATTAGCGCATGAGCCGCGGCGTGTTGGTTTGATGAACTCACTCCAAATGAGCCAAAAGCATCTGGATCTGCTCGTTTGTTAGGTGACGTCAGTCTCCTGACAACGGGTATCCAACTCACCAAATTGATACTCATCCTTTTTTCATTTTTTCTAGCAAAGAGTTTTCAGCTGATTGCATCTGCTCCATTGTGAACTCTTTTTTCATTTAAACTTTTTTTCAATTTTAATTAAAATATATTAACCTTTTCTCACCTATAATAATTTCAAAACAGTGCGTTTCGCTTAAATATTCTTTAAACAAATATTCTAATAAAAATTATACAACAAAAGGAACATCAGCTTTAAAATGACTCTCTTTAGTTATAGAGCTTTTTTTAAAAACATACATTTAAAAAAACTTTTCAAATCGCACTAAACATGAAGAATCCTTTACTACAAATTTTAGATAAAATATGCAATCAATTTTTCCTTTGCATTTATTTATTACAAATATTCCTTCCATCTATAGAAGAAAACAATGATGCAACAATTGTACTTCCGGATATTGCACCACTCCATACGCTTACAGTTATATATCTTCATTACAGTTCAGTAAGTGGATGAGCCGTGGTGTGTTGGTTTGAGCAACTCACTGCAAATGAGCCGAAAGCATCTGCATCAGCTCGTCTGTCAGCTGACGTCAGTCATCTGACAACGGGTATCCAACTCACCAAATTGATACTCATCCTTTTATTTTTTTCTAGTAGCAAAACTTTTAAACTAATAAAATTTATCTCATTGTAAGAACTGTTTTCATAAACCTTTGGGTTTTTTCTTATTTTGACCATAATTTTATTTATTTATTTTAATACCACCAAAAACATGTAATTATATATCAAAATATTTCATATCTCAAACTGTTTTGTTAATTCTCATAGATATTCATGCTCATAAAAATTGCTTTTGGTATTTTATTGTGCTTTAATTTCACAAAATGTAGCTTTAAAATATTTAAAGAAAACTGAAGATTGCTCAATCTCTTTGATTGCTTCTCAAGGTCAAATGAAGATAGAAATATTTCACTTTAGTTAAATTTACACAAGAGTTATCTCCGCTTTCACAGGTTTTTGTAGATATTATACACATGCTAGACGTTGGGTGAGCCGTGGCTTGGTGGGTTAAGATTGATTCTTCTACTGAGACTAAAGCAGCTAGATCTACTTTATGTCTTTCAGCTTTTGTTCAGGGATGTGGGGTATCCACCGTGCTAACTCGATACTCACCTTTTTCAATGAAAAATTCAAAATAAATCGTCCAATAGTATTTTCTTCTTTGAATTTTCGTCTTTTTTCTCCTTGCAAGTAATTCCTTTGTAATAGTTTAGTTCGGATTTACCAAAAGAAATTGATTTCTCATTCATTGTATTTCTTATAATTTTTCAGATATTTCCCATCTCAATATTACATTTCCGATATAAAAGTCTAAAACACTAAATTAAATATTGTTTTAATCAGCGAAAACAAGGAAATGATACTTGGAAGAGAAAAATCCAGGTTAAAATTGTTAAACTATAGTGACTGAAAAAAATCTTGAATAGAAGATTGGGCGATTATTCAATATATAGAACTTACAATAAAAAGTACGTTACATTCGTGATCAATTTATTTTACGATCATTT